GAACATGTCACGGGAACACACACTGCAGAAAATGCAGGAACGACTGTATCCACGGAGACGAAAAAGATGCATTCCTCCGGACAGGAATTTTCCAAGAGCACCGTTGGGAAAGTACCGTGTATAGAAAGATGCCCACTTCTGCAGTCTACAGTTGCCCCACACTCACACAAGAAGTCAATACCCAAAATAACGTCATGTGTAGACCGCGGAATAACCGCAAACTCTGTGCAAAACACCTTGCCACACAGCGAGATGTCCACAGTACAATATCCCACCGGACACAACACGTCACCACTTACACCACGAAATGTCACCCCACAGTTCAGGCAGAACATCACTTTTGGTCCTAGCAGGTTCTTAAAATTTACACTCATCACCGAGACTGTCGCGCCTGTATCCACAAGTGCCATAGTAGCCACTCCATCGACAACTACACGAACTTTGTTTTTCAACATAAAGGCTGACGGGGGTATATCTGTACATAGCACCTGTGATCTTGCGGCTTCACCCCCACTGGCCGCACCGACTAGGTTTCCGGCGGCGGTGTACGTGTGCGTCGCCGTGGCGACGGCAATTGTGGAGCACGGGGAGCTGGTGGTGGCGTCAAACTTCGATCAGAGGCCGGCGAGGGGTAGCGTGACCCGGTAGGTGCGCGTGGTTTCCGTGACGTGGAGTGCGGATGGTTGAAATGTTGGTGATACATATGCCAAGACCGTCGCTGATATGGGCGGTGGTCACAAAAACGTGCAATATGACCCGGGACGCCACAGTTGTAGCATACCGGAATTGGTCAAGGAACACGTGGCTGCTCAGAATAACGACTCCTCTCGGAAGGCATGGGATAGTGGTGCCGCCCTTCAGGGGCACTGTAGGCAGGCGATGTTGGGTAAACAGGCAGGCGAAAACTTCATTCGTAGTTGGGAGTTGGATGACCGGGGAATCCAGCCTGCCGTGTGCCTTGATATTCATAAGCGTCTGCTGCGTTGATCGATGGTTGCCATGGTGGAAAAGAAACAGGAGTCCGCACACGTTCTGGTTCGTTTACGTACACATCCTGAAAATCGCTGGGGCGATGATAGGTCTGCTGACATCGAAGAAGCTCTTCTCTGACGATCTGCCGTATGGTCAAAGCAAGGTCGTTAGGCAGCACTGTTTCAACACTAGCCACAGTGGGGACGTTGGACAGGCGGCCGAATTTCGGAAAAATTCGTCGCATCTTGAGGGATTCAAAGGTACGACAGTGCTTCATCACGTCAGACACGGAGTTCAAGCAGTCTTTCCCAATTAAGAAATTGTACACGTCTTCGGCTATACCCTTGAGAACGTGTCCAACCTTGTCTTCTTCAGACATCCTCCCATTCACGATCTTGCACAGCTTCAATATTTCTTCAATGTATGTCGTACATGTTTCTCCTGGAAGCTGTGCCTTCTGAGACAATGTCTGCTCCGCGCGTTTCTTCTTTGCATCCGAATCACCGAAACACTTCTGCACTTCTTCAACAAAATGTTCCCAAGTCGTGAACATGTCCTCGTGGTTCTCGTACTACACGAGGGCGGTGTCAGTTAACGAGAATACGACATGATTGAGCTGTTCGTTCGAGTCCCAGCCATTGCTTCTGCTCACCCGCTTGTAGTTCTTGAGCCACACGTCGACGTCTTCTCCTGAGGTTCCACCTAAGTTTGGCGGCACTCTGTAGTACGGCACGGAACCCATCGGAGTTGGCCTCCAAGCGTTGGATGGCTGCTCTTGGGCCATTACGATCGGCAAAGGTGGAAGTCCGGCGAGGCGGCGGACTTTCAAGTACAAAGACAACTGTAGTGTACCTCGAAGCGTGCGCCTCCCTCAGGGCGTTGCCATTATTTGAAAGGATTGGTGAAGGGATTGTTGGCCCCGCAACCAACACTTCTTAACGGAACTGCCGTAGAGAGCTGAGAGTATGGGTGAGGCGCAGTGGGCTTAAATATGGCAGTCGTGCCGTAGTAGACGCCGCAGATGACTGAACCCTTAAGCGGACGAAGCGCGCATTACGGCACCCCAAGCAACTGCCGATGACAGCGCTAGCGTGATCTCTACATGATAGTACAAAGGAGAACGACCATTTGTAGTAAGCGCCACCACCGGGTATCGCGACATTTGTGCAAGAAGTTTCGGCGGTGGCTAGAAATGCAAACTTCAGGATATTTCAAGCCGTCGAAAAAAACCCAGTTTTTTCGCATTTTTCTCTGAAAATTTGAAAAAAAATTAAAATAACAATTTTTCGGCATATGGCCATAGTTTATTGGAATATGAGATGAGTTCATTGCCAAGTGTCAAAAGCAATAACTTTTATTATGTTAATAATAGAAATGAAATGCCTCTTCTGCTTTCAAAAACGAATACAGCATTCAACGGATCAATAATAGGCCAGAAGTATTACCGTGAACTTATTTAGCATTCCGGCTTCCCAGAACTGTTACGGCAGATAGAACGAAGAACCCAGAAATGTCTATTTCGTCGTAACTTTACCCATGGAAACATTGATTAGTGCGGTAAAAAGATGAAGCGCAAATTCTTAGTCAGAGTCAGTATCACTGGTTTCATCTGTATAGCTTCCTTTATTATGCCAACATGTTAAGATGTCGCATTGGGGAAAAAAAAACGTAGCTGCTGATAATAGCTTACATGCAGCTAGTCCCCGTCTCCCACCACTGGTCTTTTTGACCGTGGTGGGAGACGGGGACTCCCACCACGGTCATCCACACCAGAAATTAGCCCGACCATTGCAGAATCTGCTTGCACATGGCTTTATATAAGCAGGCTTCCAGCGCAGGTCACAGGGGTGTACGAGGGAAACTTAAAACAGAACAATAACAGGTACCAAAACATCATAAACCACCCCCAACATGACCGCACCCGAACGACGAAGTTATGTCACGACAAGTTAAGCTGACGCTTAAGCTGACATCATCTGATGTCGATGGTGAGTGGTCAGCCGTAGTTTGGTGTTTTGGTATCATGTGCGATGTTTGGTTTCACGTTTAACTCTGGGTGTTGCCTAAACTTCATCTTATTTCTGTACGTTTTACCCCGTGAAAATCTTGGCCAATTTTTTCAACTGTGCAGAAAAAACAAAAAAAAGCATTTTTTCCCGGAATTTCCCTTTTTCTCCTCACTTCACATCTCCAGCGGGGGCGAGAGGACGAACAGAAGTAGGGGAGAGGGGGCAAGGAGCCAAGGTGCGAAAGACAAAAGGCCAAGAAAATTGTTGTAAACACTTATTTTGTCCGCAGAAACGATCCAATAGAGCTTTGTCATATGCAACGAAGCTGCTCAGAAAGAAAGAAGTAAAGGAAGAACGAGAGAGAGAGAAACTTCAGAAAGCAAGGAATAAAGGAAGAAAGGCAGAAAAAACGTAAAAAAGAGAAAAAAGAGAGAAAGGTAGAAAGGAAGAAGAAAAGATAGTGAGAGAGAAAGATAGAAAGAAAGAAAAAAATGAAGGAAAGAAAGAAAGAAAAAAGAAAGAGAGGAAGAAAGAAAAAAAGAGAAAGAAAGTAAAGAAAGGAAGAAAGCAGAAGCCGTTTTCCAAAAAGAGTGCTATTACGTACTCACTGGTGTGGAGTTAAACTTCACACTTGTAATGCACTCTTGCCAGAGTTTTAATTTGTGCAATTAGCTTTTAGCAGTGTAGCAATCTTCAGAGGGCTACTTCGAGTAATCTATAGATGCGGCGCCCTCAACTAATTTGCCACAGCTGTCTGTAAAAATAAAACGACTGTTTCATCATATTTTCGAAACGCGCCCCACAGCCTCGGTGCTTCTGTCTCGAGCAACACAGAACTCATTCAGACAAGTGGGAGCGCGCGCGGGGGCGTACACATACTAAAGCGCTAGAAGAACCGCACACTAGCAACACTTCAGGCGTGGAGCGAAAGTTTCACTCTCATCCCAAGGTAAAGTGCCGATGACGACATAGAGCCGCGGGGATTAGATTAAAGGGAGAGCTCCGCGAAAAAGAAGACCTTTAAAGCGAACAGCGTCGACGCTGCGGGAGTTCGGTCCACACGAGTCTCTTAAGCGTCCAGTTTTACGGGGATCAAGGCGACGCCAGCTGCAAATGATAGAGCAGTAAGGACTTGTTGCCGGGTCTCAGCGAAAGTGCGATCGATGTGACTTAAGGGGCGCTTTTAAGTGCCGATCACGTGCTGGCACTTTTTGTCTTTACGGCCTGGCTCTGCCGTTTAGCAGGGATACGTAAAGTAAGGCCCCTCGTCGGCGAGTGACAGGCTGCTATTTCAATAGGCTCTTAAAAGTGCTAGGTGAAGTTTGTTACCGCCATCGAAGAGGGTTGCACGTGCTTCTTTGAGCCCCATTAGGCCACTTGTCGAAGCTGCTTTGAAGTTTCTGAGGAGGGAGTGCATCGGAATTGTGACGCCGTGGAAGAGGGCCCTTCACATTCTGCGTGGAATTTTCAGTGCCATGAAGCTAGAGTGTAATATGACGAAGGGCTTTAAGTGACTTTAGCTTTGAAGTTTAAGGTGAAGACCATGTAGAGAGGTGATTAAAGGCAGACATGTACCACAGAAAGATAGTTATATTCTCAGGATTTGAAGACAAGTGCTCTGTCGTCAAGCAGTCAGCGAGTGCTGCCTTGTGCATTCGGTTTTTAGAAGCAGTTTTTGTGGTGAGTTCATCATTTCACCAATAGCCACAGAAAAAAGAAAGAAAAGTGTTTCATCTACTGTTTCCTAACAACATCGATTCCCAAAGGTTTAAAGAAACTACTCCGGGCCATCTGCTTATGCTGGTTTGAAGATTGAAAACTTGAAGATGAAAATAAGTCGACGAAAGGAAGTTCAGACGTTAAAAATGTAGTTTTCGTCGATGTAGATTCATGGTAAAGTTTTTGCTCTTTAAACCACACATGTGACACCAACTATCCCAACAGTTCACACTTCTACACCTGCATGTCACTTCCACACGCGGTGTCTACCAAAATCTCCCGTGTGGGTAGCCGACTCACGTTAGGTTGTCCAGGTTTGCGGGTCGCCTCCTCTCGTTCGAGAAGCAGTTCCACGGCCTCGACGTACTCCTCGCTGATGGCGTGCAATAGCGCATCGCGGGTGTCCACGTTGTGCAGCAGCAGGAGTTCGATCATCTCTAAGTTCTCGTTGTCGATGGCCATGAGCAGCGCTGATCGGCCCAGAGGGTCGGTACAGTTGCAGTTCAATGTGCTCAGGCCGGCCTCGGCGCTCTGCAGATACCTGCGTCACGAGATCACGCACGTACAGAGTCTCAGTCCACAGCAAAGCACCATTGAAAAAGAAAGATAGCAGACGGGAAAGGCGAGGAGATTAATCAAAAGAAAAAAAAAGATTGGCTTGATACCCTCAACTAATAGGATAGCACAACGTCAAACGGTCACAGTCGTTCAGTGTTGTGACAGGCTGTCACTGCGTAGTCATTTTCCTATCGCAACAAGCGCCAAGTCACACTGTGGCTGGTTGAACAGTACTCTCATGCTTAATAAGAGCAGCAATGCCTTCCATCACTTTCAGCTTATATGACTTGTGACGTCGGACGTTTAAATACAATTTTAGTGCTATTAGGTCAAAGCTAGCTATTGCTGTTGCGAGCTTCTCCTTGGATTATAGAGAGCATAGGCAGACGTAATACGATTAAAGTGTCTTCGCGACCACAGTCACCGCACATCGTACTGGTGGCTATGTTTATACAGAGAGTGCAAGGGTTTGTAAGCATCTTTCTTATTCATAGCTGAAAATGCAGATTGGCTTCACGTCAGCGGAGTCCAGTAGGGATGCGACTTGGTCTCCTTCGGGACACTGTCGTTTGGTTGCAGTTCCGCTGGCATTTCGCAGATGTACATGAGGTCGCAGGGCAGAGAACTGGCAGCGACAACTGCAATAATGTTAAATACAGTTGCATTTGTGTATTAATATACAGGGGGCACCTGGTGGCCAGAGCTTAGCAGTGTGTATCTGATGGCCATCTGACTTACGATGAGATGCTGTATTTTCTGTAGAACGTTTTATGCGAAAGTCTACTGAAGTATGCCGTTTCTGTACCACAGGAGGGAGGTTCCCTGCAAATTTCTTATCGATCTGTTTGCTTAAGCTTTTTGTGTATACGACAACGCTTTGCAGTGAAACGCGTGCAGTGCATTTCAGTTATGCAGTGAAGTCCGGCTGAAATCGAAGGGAGAATAACATTAGTGCCTTTGGAACTCTCTCTCGTCTTACCTTCGAGCTGTGGCCAAGTCTCCCCTCTCCACCGCCAGGAGGAACTTCTTTTCCTCCAGAGTTAGTTGGCCCTCGGGCTTCGCCTCTGTGCCGCCTGCTTCATGGCCAGCAGTTCCTGGTGCAGAGGCGAGGAGTCTCGGTCCAGGCGGCTCATCGTCGGCCGTATCGCCGAAGAAGTGGCCCGCCATCGAGTCTGAGCCCAGTGGCGAGGCGCAGTTACCGCCTCGGGCGCAGCAAGGCCCGCCGCCCTCCCCGGCTTCCAAGTCCATGGCACCGGCCCGTATTCAGCGGTGCCGCCTACCGACGCGGCGACACTGCTGTAAACCTGCGTTTCAACATAGCAGCATCTACAGCATGCCTATATGGATCAGAGCCATTCACAAAAATCTGAAGACGAGCCAAAATTTTTTTCTTTGGTGTATAGTAGTGACAGTCGCACCTCGATGTTCACCTGGTATATTGCACTCCCTGTCTTCTTAGATCCGCGCTGTTGGAGTGGGTTTCAGCGGCCACGTAAAAAGAAGCGCGTGGATGGGACCTGCTCCACCAGGTGCAGCAATGATCCCAGCTGCTCACAAGAAAAGTATCTGCTCTTCCATGAGCTGATTCAGTCATTTTTAACTAGTTATGCGGACAAATTATGGGTCGTTATCTGAAGTAATCGTCTAATTCAATATCATGTGTATTCGGCAAAAGTCTAAACTTGAATCGTAACCATAGAGTCTTTCTGAATATTAGGGGCGAAGCTCCTTATAGAAAAACCAGTTCGTCCTCCGTAGTATGTAACAAGTATAATATTTTGACCTCCAATGTGGCGCCGGTGAGAGACTTCATCTGTGCGTTGTTGAAGAATAAAAAATAGCGCTCAATGTACGTTCCAATGGCTGCTAATGGGGAATGAGAGGAAGGAGCATTCGGCTTTTAGTTAACGCGCAGGCTGCGATCACCAATAGCAGCCATTGGCATGTACATTGAGCACTATCTGACAAGAAAGGGTTGCTACGTTATACTCGCTGGGTGTAACCTCCTTAGCTTTAAAAAGGTTTAGCGAGCGTTCGGCCGCAGTGCCATGAATACAGTGAACTAGTATATACCATGAATGAACTCGAGGTGGTTAAAAATGGAAAGTAGATACAAAGCGCAAGCCGTAAAAAGTAAAAGCCGAATTCTCCGCCTCTCATTTCCCATTAGCAGCCATTGGCATGCACATTGAGCACTATCTGACTGAAAAAGTTTGCTACGTCATATTCGCTGGGCGTAACCTCCTTGGGTTTCGAAAGGTTTAGCGACCGTTCGGCCGCAGTGCCATGAATACAGTGAACTAGTATATACCATGAACTCGAGGTGGTTAAAGGTGGGAAGTGGACCCGAAGCGCAAGCCATAAGAAAGTGTGCGCGTGCCACCTCTCGTTTAGTCCTTGGAATGTCCGCTGGATGGCGGTGCTTCTATATGAGGAATATATGATGAAAAGATGCGAGATGGTGGTACTTGGAGTGTTGAATAGATGGACGAACGGACACATAGACAGATGCATGGATGGACGCATGAACGGACGCAGGGGCGGCTGCATGGACGAACGCAGGGACGGACGCACGAACAGGCGCACGCACGGACGGGCTGATGGACGCATGGATGGTCACATTGACGGACGCATGGACGGACGGAAGCAAGAACGAATGGACGGACAAATTCTTCGCCCCACTCTCCATCATTCACTCCATAGATATGCTGCCATTTTTTAGGAGCGAAGCTCCTTAAGGCGTGGGCTGTGCGTCCCCTGTATGTAGCCACCTCTCGTTCAGTTCTTGCAGTGTTCACTAGATGGCGGTACTTGTAGCTGATGGCATTAAGTATTACGCTAGCCACCGCCCGATCTAAAGGGTACAGCCATATCCATCCGTCCATCCGTCCATCCATCCGTCCATCCATCCGTCCGTCCGTCCGCCCGTCCGTCCGTCCGTCCGTCCATCCATCCATCCATCCGTCCGTCCGTCCGTCCGTCCATCCGTCCATCCATTCATCCATCCATCCATCCATCCATCCAAAAGATGCAAGATGTTATAAACTAGACGGCGGTACGTGTAGTTGATTATGAAAGATGCGAGGTGTTATAAAATAGGAATGATGTCACATATGGCGCGTGTCATCGTTCGATATAGTGCGGCGACGTACGCTAGGGGGAGCATTGCAATAAAATCGAGTGGGCAAAATGTACGGAGGATTCATGGTTTACCAGGTTTACCTCCGGAGCTTCGCCCACTCATCATCATTCACTTCGTGGATGTGGCGGCACTTTTTTTAATATTTGGAAAACCCAAAATAACTGCTTGACTGGCAGTGAATAAAAAATACCACAAAAAAAGCTGTCACAGGGCATCTGTTCATAATTGTGACTTTACATTTTACATTTTGCATATATTTTCAATACCAAAGGCATCATATCATGTGGGCATATACAGTGGCTGAATACAAAAACAGCGCAAAACTGGTTGCTTTGTAATCAGCGAAGGCGACTTTCAAGGTCAAGATAACCTCGAAATTAAAAGATGATATTTGTGAATCCAGCCCCAAAATCTGCAGTGCTTCAAGGGGGTAACCATATATTTCTTTCAGGAGCCTCGTCAAATGTCTGCAAAAAGAACAATTGAAACAGCAGTGATAATGGTCAACTGGCAGTTATGGCACGTTTCGCGTCATTATTTATGGTGTTGTCATCGTTTTGCTCGTCATTTGGAAACACAGCGCGTGTTGCGCCGAAAGCTGGTGAATGTAGTCGACATTATGTGCGCAAGTTTCAATCTAATGCACGACAGAAACATATCCTGCTTCATGACCAGAAATACGAAGTGCATACACGTATACTAGAGTCTTCCAAATGTTTGAGAGTGCATGAGGTGACTGTTATAAGTGAGCCTTAGCTAATTAAAGTGGTCAGTGAAAGAATGTAGTAATAATATAAAACTGACCTGTTACCTTCACATATCATTTTCGCGCGAAGTCCGGAAAATGCACAACACTTCCACTATGGGGTGGCTCTTTGATTTTAGGGAGTGTTATATATGTTAATTAAACGTGGGCGTATGCATTGTTATTGTCGCTCAAAAAGTGTGGAGGCTCTGTACGACCTTGCGCTGTTCTAGCGGCATGCCGTATTCATATGAGCCACGTATCGTACGACTCGGGCTGAGAACTAACACACGTGTCACGTATCTTCTGCTGCAAATGGTACAGAAGCTACGCAGGGATGCCTAAACGATCATTTCTAACTGGACTTCCTGCTCAGTGTGCTGTGCATTTTTGTGATAAAACTGCGTTTGAATTGAAATCAGCACTTGCTTACCTTGGCGATAACCTCGCTGTCTGGCTGGAACCTACAAAGACTGCATCATTAATAAGCTGTGTTACGTTAGGCGAATACGTCTTCCACTTTCTTTTTTATCTCAGTTGAACATAAAGTTTAGTCGTCAAACAAGAAATTACCACAAACTTAGAATGAAAAAAATGGAAGCGTCGACAAAGTGGTTTTCTGCATGCAAGGGGAGGGCTTAAATAAAATTAAAAAAATGCGTGTTTCTTACTTTTCACATTAAGCGCGGTTCTGTACAAAAGTCCTTACATCTCATACGATTCCTCGCAGACCATCACATTCGTAAGTGCTTAACAGTGCAAAAGACAGGAGGGGATAGAAGAGACGAGAACAGAGCGCTGATCTCGTTTCTTCTATCCCGTCCTGTAGTTTGCGCTGTTAAGCGCTTTCTTCGTCTACCATGCAGCACCAACCAACCCAATGAAGCACTTTGTCATCACATTGGTATTCCTGAAAGAAAAGTCAAAAGAACACCTAACCCACAAACACGAAATTTTCTGGTCCGCAAATATGACAGACCAACAGGAGACCTCGAATAATGAATTCAACCACGTAGACCAAAAAAAAAACACAAAAACACCGCGATATGTGTTGATAGTTGCGTTAACAAAAGCGCTCAATAGCTTACCTCAATGCACATCACTCTTGTTTCGCCGCCCAATTTTTTACGCGTTTTTTTTCTGCACCGGCGGTTCTTGATATTGCTGGAAGCGGCACGAGATATCCCTTACAGAAGCAGGCTTTTTGAATAATCGTCACTTTACCACAGTGATTCGAGTGACGTGATTTTTTTTCCAAACGACGCTCCGGAAATACGCATTCAGAAGAAGAGTTTGTCTTTCTTCGCCTCGAGACAAGCTTCTTTTTTTTTCATTTCTCAAAGCGCGAGGCAAGCCAGGCAGAGTGGAACGCCCGTCACGTACATCTTCTCAACGCTGAAACGAAACGTGACGTGAGGAAAAAGATAGGGCCACTGCCAAGTACACCACCCGGGGAAACGGAGGCCAGTCACGTATGTTCGCATCCCGGAATACTCGTTGTGCAGAGCCTTTGCATACTGCCTGACCGTCCGGTGCCTTGCGATCGGATCTCGTGATCATCAAGGCGTACACACAAGGCGGCGGAGAAAGGGAAGAGAGTCTTGGTTAGTGGCTCTTCCTTCCCTTTTTCCACCCCTTTGATAGCTCGCCTTTGTTACTGCATTGTGATGATAAAACCGGTATTCAAAAGTAATCATCGTCCTGAATTTCGCCCAAAGTTTTTGTACACTCTACATGCGTTATTACGGTACTAAAATGAAAACAGGTTAAAAAATAACAAGATTGATTTGTACACATTTACCTACCTTGTTAGGCAAATGCACTAAAGGCACAAAAGAGATAAGAAAAGTGCAAGATAATAATAATGATTGTTTGATATGTGGGGTTTAACGTCCCAAAACCACCATATGATTATGAGAGACGCCGTAGTGGAGGGCTCCGGAAATTTCGACTACCTGGGGTTCTTTAACGTGCACCCAAATCTGAGCACACGGGCCTACAACATTTCCGCCTCCATTGGAAACGCAGCCGACGCAGCCGGGATTCGAACCCGCGACCGGCGGGTCAGCAGCCGAGTACCTTAGCCACTAGACCACCGCGGCGGGGCAAGATATGGTAAGGCTGGCTTGTAAATACGGGCTTAAGACCCTTGGTGGGAGGGGATTGAGAATAGCTTCCGGGGATGATAGGCGTTGCGGCTGGGCTTCTTCCTCATCACCCTCATAATGGAAGCTTTACGTGCACCTGCGCAGCGAAGGCCATATTTCAGGACTAGTCGTGTCCGCGTGCACAGACGTTTTTTTTTTCAAAGAATTGTGACCTTTCATGTCGAAATTAGTCAATGTTGATCAAATACTGACT